TCAAATCAAATCCAAAATCTGAGACCATAGGTACATAGATTCAAAAAATTCAAATCCAGCGACACCAAGATCACCCGAGTCTGACACCGTTTACTCCATCATCCTAAGACCCGAAGCCGGAAACAATCCCGATTGTCCGATCATAGTCGTTTTAATCCTAATTCTCATTTAACATCAAATTCAAAATCTGAGTCCATAGGTATTTAGAACTCAAAAATCCGAATCCAATGACACCAAGATCACCCAAATCCGACACCGCTTACCCCTTCATCTCAAGACCTAAAGCCAGAACCGATTTCAATCGTCCGATCGGGATCATCTCTGATCCTAAAGTCTAACCCATAGAAAATCTGAAATCCAACCCTGTAGATGGATATGACTCGAAATTCTAAGTCCAACGGTACCAAGATCGTCCAATTCCGACACCGTTAGCCCCTCCATCTTGAGACCTGAAGCTAGACTCGATCCGAGCCCTCCGTTTAGAATCCTCTTCACAATAACTTCGAACCAAGGGCATTCCATGACCAAAACCTCCCCTCAACCTCTAGAACATCTTAAAAATCTAAGATTTGACCAACTATAGCTTCCAATCAATCAAGTCAATCACCTAAACTTAGAATGTCCAGTTTAGATAAATTAGTGAAATCTTTCACTCTTTGTCTTGATTGATTGAGAGAATCTCTCACAAAGCTGTCTTGACAATACATTCTTTCAATCAATCTCCCTCCAAAAGCAATTCAAACATCAACCATTGATCTCCCTTATCTTCCATCTCAGCCCTCCATTCCCCTATCAAAATATCTATAAATACCACCCCTTTCTTACATCCAAAACACACAAGAAAGCCTAGAGAGATGATCCTACACTCACTAGCCTAAAGAAATCCCCCCTTCACATCCTAACAACCCATGTCGTAGTCTCTCTTCCCATCATCTATCATGTCCCAAGAATCCCCCATAACGGTAATACAGTCCACGAAACCCTTAGGTTACATTGTATTTATGAACTTTGAAGCATTCTTAAGTCCAATTTAAACCCAAAATCAGCCAATATACGATCAAGAGCACATACTACAAAAATCTCGAAGTAGAAATCATTGAAAATGTCTAAACTGTCTTAGAGAATGCATCGATGAAGAGAAAGGCAAGTTCAGCTGGTTAAGTTCTTGAAAAATGTACGCCGGTTAGCACCCCAACAGCATAATTTCTATTCAACCCCCTTTTTTATTTCTCTTTGAAAGTAATTGAATAGGATTAGTCAGCAATCTATCAACTTTGTTGTTAAGGTTTCAAGTTTCTTCTTTCCGTTAGTTTATTAGTTCAATCATCATTCATCTTAAGATTGGCCAAGTTGTGTTAGATTTCATGATTAGCATATATTTTCTTCATTCATTTAGTTTTCTTTTCTTTGTTTTGTATTGCATTGGTATGTTTATTTATTTGTTTTTACACTTAAGTGGCACTGTATCTAGCTAGATCATCTGCATGCATCATGTTTAAACTTATTTAACTCCATTGCTCTCCCTCTCCATCATATTTTTCTAGTAGTATTTGGACAATTCTCTCATATAGTGTCGTGGCTGCTTGTTTTGTTCTCTTATTTTGTTTAGTCTCGTTAAATTACATGATCGCAGGTATTGGCAAGTTTGTTAAACATATTAGGTAAGTAATTTTGTTGAGTAGAATTCTCGTTAAACACACTCTATGCCATTATTGGTATCACACACCTTTTTCTTTACTTTTGGATGGCTTGTTCCCTGCTCCCAATTCATGTATATCCTTGTTCATGTGCTCCTTAGTATGAATTTTCTGATGTCCATGATATGATCATGTTACTAGTTGCATATTTAGCATTTCACATGTTTTCCGACCATTCCCTACTGGTCATCTAATTTGCATTAGCTACTCGACTCTTTTTTTTTTTATTAGTTATTATAGTCTTTGTGACCTATCATTTCTTTAGTTTGTTCATTAATATAGTCTTTCTTTTATCTCTCACTCATTTTCTTGATTGATTTTCTCTTTTGGCATGTTACGGTATAGTAGATCATTTGGATCTATTATAATTCAGCCCATTCATTTGCTTATTTGTCTATCTTAGCATGACTCTTTAATTGTTAGTTTACTTTAGTTTTTGCTTGATTCATGCAATTTCAACAATTTGAAGTTCAAAATTATGACTAATCATTGGAATATTGATGAAGTAGAGGCCGGTTTAACTGGGCACGTGTGGGGTGCCTAACACCTTCCCACACCATACCTTGGTAAGAATCTCATCCCATTGGGCAACGAATCACCAAGAAAGCAAAATGTTTTTTTTTTGAAAAATCTGTCCCCCCCCTCCCCCTCTAGGTCTGGTAGCCACACATTGCACAGGCTTGGGTGCTGGCCTGTACTCATGCTCTTGCCATCCACTATGGTGTCTTCTGTGATAGACAATGGGTGCACCTCCTAGGCTGCTGCCCCACACCAATAAGATTGATGGAGTTCTAGTATATACTTAGTACTAGAAAATATAATTTATATTCCCTTCCTTTTTCTACCTTTTCCTTAAAACCAAACATAGCCTTAGTAAATGCAGTTCTAATGGCTGGAATTCAACATGTAGCTCTTTTGGAATTCAAGATTGGTGATTGGGGGGTCTTTGTTTCATTTTGGCAGTATGATTGATGGGATTTGGACAGTGGTGATGTTTTTTGTGGATAAGTTAAACCAACAAATGTTACAAATATATTCAAAAGATATGAGAGCTTAAACAAAGTTTTTTTTTTTTTTTTGAAGATGGCTTAAATAGAGTTTTTTTCTTTTCAAGAACGCTTAAACAAAGGAGTTTACTCATTTGCATTAAGACATATGTGCTAGTAACACATTTACATGCATCAAATAGAGGATCAAGAATTGCCATCAAACCTCTTCATGAGTAAACATGAACATGAATTCAAAAGAAATTCATTCATATAGTCATGGAATGAAGGTGTGGGTGGGAAGAAAAAAGACAATTGGAAATCTAAATTACTGTCACAAGCAGGAAGGAAGAACAACTTTGGTTACAACAGTCATGCAAGCGGTTCCAATTTAAACTATGGGTGCCATAATATTACCTCAAAATTCACAAATGAATTGAACTTTGAAAATAATCCGAATGGACTTTTGGTGGTATGGCGGTTTGGCGACTGCTAACTGAACTAGTTTGATTAATCTTTGACAGATATTTAAAGGAGTATATTTTCTCTACAAAAGCCAAAACTGCCTCCTCACCTTGTGGAAACAAGTGATGGAACTAAAACATAATTTCATTTGGCAAGGGTAAAAAATATCAATATATGATCCCCGGGTACTGAATTCACATCAAATGTTTACAACCCAGGGGTTCAAAACCTAAATAAGTTCAACATCATGGTAATTGGATAAACCCAAAGTATATACTTAAGATTGCCAAATTGATTCTGCCTTCTTAGCAGGGTCCACAAGTAGTTACCCAAGACTGTAACTTCCACTGATTAATGAGCTCACCAATAGAATTAGGAGGAGCTCCCATTGTCCCACCCTGACATAAGGCCTTCCACTGGTTAATGACTTTCACTCGGATGGATGGAAGTCATATCCTTCCCATGTTTGAAATTATAAAATAACCTATTTTAGGAATTTCCATAAGCTTTTAGCCACATGGCAATTGAAGAACATATGGCCAATGGAGATAAAAAGCCATATGTTCTCCCTATCCTTTTTCGCTAGAGGATGTCGAACATGAGGAAAGAAAAAAGTAGACTTTGTCCTCTATGTCTATAGTCAAGAGAAACCATTCAATTCATAAATAAATGCAGGGGAAACCATTCACTTGATAAATAAGTCAACAAATACTTCCTTTGGAATAGTTAGACCCAAATGGGATTGGACAATAGTTAGACCCATTGGGATTATGCAAAACTACATCACCCATGATATGTTCACTAAAACCCTATCTTATACAAACATTTAAATAAAGTAAAATCTATCTTCAATAACACACGATTCATTAACAACTTGACATGATCAAAACCCTAGCTAATACAACAACCTACCTACTTGTAGATGTATATGCCAAATAACACAACAATGAACACAATGATTAAGGCCCTCATTGTCTTCAATAACGACTTGTTTGGAGGAAGTCATATCCTTCCCATGTCAGAACTTCTAAAATAACCTACTCGGATGGAAGTCATATCCTTCCCATGTCTGAAATTCTAAAATAACCTATTTTAGGAATTGCCACAAGCTTCTAAAATAACCTACCTATATGTTCATCAATTGCCATGTCTGAACTTCTAAAATAACCTATTCGGATGGAAGTCATATCCTTCCACCGATATATTTGAAAGTTCGGGTACTAACTTGATACTATCCCCAAAGTTTAGGGTACTAAAGTGAAAATTTCCCAACAAAAAAAGGGAATCACACATGGATTTCTGAACGTTTTGAAAAGTTATGGTAAGTTTTAAGATAAATGCTAAAAATCATGGTGAGCTTCAGACAATTTCCCTAAGATTTGATGAGTGATATGGTTGTAACTTGTAATATACTAATAATCCACCATGGAAAGGATCATTCCCTCCTTTACTGAATTGAGGGTCCGTTTGGTTCGTAGTCGGAATCGGAAACGGAATTGAAATCCTCTAGAATCAGAATTGGAATGGTCCATTCCCATAATCTGTTTGGTTCAAACAGGAATAGAAATGAGAATTATGGTAGCAGGAATGAGATTTCATTCGCAAGAAGAGCAAAAAATGGCCATTCTCTCAAATGGGGGAATGCAATTCTAATAAGAATGGAAATGAGCTGTCCAATCAAACAGTTAGAATCCGAATAGCCCATTCCGATTCCGGACCCCTATTCATATAAACCAAACGGACCCTCAGATGTAAGTTGCAAGTAACAGTGTATGAAATCGTAGCCTTACATCGTCCTCACAGCATATCCTGCCTGCACATCGGGAACATATACGGATCCCAATTCTCGCGAATGTCTCGTGTTTCCGCCGTGCTACCTTGAGACAGGCCAGCCGATTGAGAGTTTTTGCTACTTCAATATTAGCTAATAACTTCCTTTCGACTCCGGATCTCCTGCCCACACAAACTCTGCCCACGTCTCCTTTCGGGAAGCCTGGAAACAGTGTAACTGGAAATAGATAAAGAAGAGGGATGAGAGTAGCGTAGAGTAGAGCAGAGATGGCTGTCCTCCCAACATTTCGTCATCTCCTCAACCACCTCCTTCGCTCCACTTCAATAACAACGACAACAAAAGTAGCAGCGAAGAACTCCCACCTTCCCCACATTTCAAATCGGACTGCGAGAATCTCCCTATGCTGCTCTCCCTCTCAAATTCCCCAACCTCAACTTACACCTAAGTTGAACTCCCATGAAACCCTAAGACCTTCTCTCGCCGCAAAAGGTTTCCTTTCTCTGCAAACCCTAAAATGCTCGTTCAGGCACTGCTTTTCAATCTCATTCACTATCTTCTTACCTCTTTGTGTTCTTATTGCAGAGAAAGCCTTTGTTCTAACAAAAGATGAAAGGTTGGGTTCGTCTCCTATTAGCGCTGAGCATATCGAGAGTTCGAGCACGATTGCTGCCATCGTCACTCCCTTGGGTGGTCGGCCGGGTGCGGTCGGGATTGTTCGGTTATCAGGCCCTATGGCTGTGACAATTGCTGCTCGTGTCTTTCGGCCCGCGAGGAATAGGAAGAAGAAAAACTCCAATTCTGAGTGGAAGCCCACAAGCCACTTTGTGGAGTATGGTGTGGTTTCCGACCTCCACGGAAATGTCGTTGACGAGGTAATTCTCACCTCTATTTTCCTTTACCATCACTTGTCAAAAAGGATCACTTTTTAGCTCTTCGTTATCGAAAAAATTGAAAAACGAATATATTTCCAAGAGAATTATGTCTCAGTCTCACTTAGCTCTTTTAAATGCTCTGTTGCTAACATTGCTTCCAATTCTATACGAATTAAAGTTTTAATGTTCATGTTGCTTGGTTTGTGATTCTATCATAAAAACCCCTGCGTAATTTCTGTTATAGTGTTGAAACAATTGGCCTAAATACTGAGCTTAGCTTTTCTTTTATTTGCGTCTGTACTTGGATCTTCGAGGATGGATTTTCATGTTAAGTGTGTCCCGCTCCCGAACCAGGTTTTAGCAGTACCGATGTTGGCACCTAGATCCTATACTCGGGAGGATGTGGTGGAACTCCAGTGCCATGGAAGTGATGTATGCCTGCAGCGCGTTTTGAGAGCCAGTTTAGAGGCAGGAGCAAGACTTGCAGAGCCAGGTAGGTTTTTGGTTTAACTTTGAGTCGGTTCTTTTTGCAGGTTTGTTAGAAAGGATCAATTACATTGTTTAACTTAGACGATAATACCTGAAAGAAGGTTAGAAGTAATAAAATTATTAGAAAAGATATTTCATATATATATATATACATATATCGCAAATAGGGTAATGGGTTCAAGGAACCCAGCTTGTCAAGCTCTATATATACTTCTTGCTGTGATCGCTATGTTTTTTTTCTTTTAAACATCTAACATGTTAAAAAAATTGGCCAACAAACATTTATGAAATATTATACAGTAAGGGAGTAATGAAGTGTTCTCACTTGTATTGCCTTGTGATCTCAATTCTTAACCATGCTATTCAATATAATTAGCTGGAGTAAGCAATATAGCTTATTTCCAATGCTTAGCACCTTGATCAGACCGAGCTTCCTTAATTTCAGAATCTCTATGTTTTTTCTAGTTTTGCGAATGCCAATTTTTTTCTTTATTTAGATGTATTTCAATGCAATTCTTTATGCGTCCAATTTTAGACTTTAGTTCCTTGCCAACACTTGATAAGGTTGAAGGAAGACTGTCTTACATAAAATCTGAAGATAGTAGGATAACTCTCCAGTCATAGTTGTCAAGGCGATGCCTAGACGATAAGGTGGTCTTTAATGGTCGCCTTGCTCAAATGCTTACATATTTATATGCAAGGCACCGCATAATATTTTTATATTTTTATTGTATGTTATAAAATAGTAGTACAATAGATATTATTAGACTAAATTGTTCATATTTTGGGTTCAACCAACACACAAGTCAGTGACATAGTCCTGAACCCTTTAACACTTTATAGCGGTATAGCCTAAATTCACAAGTAAGAAATAACTTGGAGATTTTATCCTATTGGCACACAAGACAATCAATAGGACCTTTTCTTCTTCTTCTTCTTCTTCTTCTTCTTCCTAGGACCAAAACAAGGGCTCAGCCCTTATGTTTTGTACACTTTCTTTCCTTTTTTATTTTTCTTCTCATAAATATGTTGATTTTCTATCTTTTGATATGGGGTTTATTCTTATTTCATGAGGATTGTGGTAATTATTAGTTAAAGATTACTGCTTATTACTATGAAATCTAAGGAACTACTCTAGGATCTATGTTTTTTATTCTAAAAAACTCATCGCCTAGGCGATGAGGCACTCCCCTGTTGCCTAGGTTCACCTTGGCACCTTGAAAACTATGTCTCCAGTCCTCATCCTCCAAAACTGGTTGTACGCTGTGTATGTTTAACCCTACATCCAAATGTTCTTTCTGTTTTGCATGGGGTTCCACCCTTGACCCTGCAAACATGGAAGGTTATTTCAATTAAGATACTTGGACCAGGAACCATGTATCATTAACTTTTTCTCATGAGTTGCAAAGAGTGAAGTTTTAGTTTCTATTATCAAGATCACTTGGCTGAACAGTTTCTTTACTTTTATTTTGTATACTTATAGATATGCATATGCTTCTCTGCCTGCATATGCACAAAAGCAAGGTTTAAAATATCGATACAGGGTGATACGCTGGTAGGGCGTATTGGCCTGTATCGGTACTGTTTTTTTTTGTTTTTATTTGTTTCGAATCTGGTTCAAAGAGGCCAGTTTAAGGCTGGTCTAGCCCCCTGAACCACTAGCTGACCTGAAACACCCCATGTAGGGGCGTATCAGGAAGGCCCCGATACGATATGTATCGGGCCGATATGTATCGAAATTTTGAACCTTGCACACAAGTATATTTGACATATGAACTGAATAGGAAACATCCAAGAGGAAATGGATTCCTTCTGGGAAATTAGAAATATGTCTTGCAATTTTCAGAGGCCTCCAAGGGTTTAATGTATTTCAGGGTAAATATCTCATAGTTGGGGAGGGTTGATAGCTTTCTTTTGTCATATTATTTATCTCTGCACTTTATTTTTATTTTTCTGTCTTAATAAATTTTTAATCACTTAAAGATAAGAAGAGTATTTCAGGAAGACAATTTTTCCAAAAGACAGTTATTTTTCTAATGGGTGTTTATGTGCTTGTGCACTGTGTAGCAGTTCAAGCAAGCCACTGTGCATGTGCAGTCTCTTTCATGGTCATTTCCTTTGGAAGTGTCATACTATCAATGTGATAATGAAGAAATAAAAAAATAATATGGAGGTCTTAATGCTACTTGTTCTTCACTTTTATCAGGGGAGTTCACTCTCCGTGCCTTTCTCAATGGACGTTTAGATCTCTCCCAAGCTGAAAATGTTGGAAAGCTAATTTCAGCCAAGTCTGTGGCATCCGCAGATGCAGCATTGGAAGGAATTCAGGCATGTTTTGTATATAGGACTATAAATACTTGATTCAATCAGACTTTATCAGTTCTTCTATCTGCCTGTTTCTTATTGGAATATGCTTTTGTTTATTTTATGACTTTAAATGTCTGAATCTTGAATGTGTGTGTTTGGTAGGGAGGTTTCTCTTCTTTAGTCAAATCACTAAGAGCCCAGTGTATTGAGTTGCTTACTGAGATTGAAGCTCGCTTGGATTTTGATGATGAAATGCCGCCTCTGGACTCCGACATGTTAATAAATAAGATTCATGCCATACAGAAAGCAGTAGAGCAGGCATTAGAGACTGCCAATTATGACAAGTTGTTGCAATCTGGATTGCAGGTATAACTGCAATGGAGATATCTACGACTCCTTCCACCTCCACCCCCACCCCCACCCCAATTGCTCGTGTAAGAATCAAGTGAATTGTTGCTTTAGAGCAAAATGCCAAGAATCCACCTTTTTTGCCTTGCCTCAGACATGATAGGTAGCAGCCAGCAAATAGAATCACACCATTTTGTGGGTCTAGTATAGGAGGCCTCTTGGAAAAGAAGTGCCTGATGAGATAAACCTTACGTGCTAAAGTGGCTGAGAAAATTTCTACCATCAATTTGACAAAATTACATGAGATTCCCCACAATACACAAGCATCTCATTTGTTTAAGCACTATCTTGCTTGCTGTGTATAAAGATGTATGCTCTACTTTCTTTCTAGTCATTGAGCTCCTAAGTCATTCTACCATTGTCTTAAGCTGTAATGTTCCCTTGACATGTAAGCATGATGTGGCTAATCCAAGCCATCCACCAATTGGGGAACCTCTGGATTGGCTACTACTTTTTTCAAGCCTCCATTCCACATCAGTCCCATATCCAATCTTTTATTAGTGCTTTTCACAAATAATATTAGGCATCTAAAGTTTCAATATTTTAATACTATACTTGCCAAAAAGAATGGTTTATTTTGACCACATACCGAGGGTTTTTGGTCTGAAATTGGCCCATCAATAGAGGATAGTGAGAGAAATATGCATGCCACTTTGATTCCCAAACCAATTTTCTATGGAAAGATAAACATAGATAGACATGCACACACACACATTTTTTTGCTTATATGCTGATCTGAACTTTTTAGATTTTTTTTTTTTTATTTATCTTGCAGATAGCAATTGTTGGTCGGCCAAATGTTGGGAAGTCAAGCCTCCTTAATGCTTGGAGCAAAGTAAGTTGCACAACTTATTTTTGGAAACTGAGATGGAATATTACTCACTTGTTCATTTTGATCAATTCATGAGAAATAATGGAATGACCTAAAGATACTGCCTTCCCATGAACTACTGTTGTTAGAATTAGGGAAACCTTTGAGGATTTAAGCTTTCCTTGATGAAGACAGGGTGGTATGGGGAAGGTAAAATTTTTCCAACTGTTACATAAATAATGTATCTCTATATTGGAAAAGGAAAACCACATAAGTTGACATTTATTTCACAACCGATGCTTCCACAGCCAGCCATTGACACAAATATGAAATTCCACATATACTCTAATAGCATAATGCTTTTACTGTTGGCACTTTTCTGAGAACAGCAGATTTGTGCAAATTTCATGAAATGTATATTATCATCTTTTACACCATCATCTATGATCCTACTTAAGTGGAGTCAGTATATGAATATCACATATCCCTTTCCCCATTATGGTCTTCAGTATTTTATCATCTTTCTGTTCTACCTGAACCCAATTTCTTTTTAGTCTTATTTTTGCCCTAAAACCTCAACTTGCATCACATTTCTCATTTTCACTATCATGATCTTTTGTTTTCATTCAATATGGGCAAGCAATTGACATGGTTAACAGAATGGAATGGTGAAACAGGATTCATGTAGTAACCCCATATAGTTGGGACAGGGCTCTCAAAAATAGGGAAACAATCAGATTTCTTTGATCGAGAATTGCTGCTATACCTGACTTCCTCCTAGTTTTGTTACTCATCCATCTCCCTATCCTCATAAGTTTTTTTTTGGTTCCTTCTATTGGCATCCTTGTTAATCCCTCCCTTCTTATGAGTAACCAAGCCAAGACACTCAACCCAACCCAACCTTTGACTTTTTCTTACATAAGGTGGCTACTCTCAAACTTGAGCCTGCATTCTTACACTTGTCAGTTTGAAAATTTACCATTGCACCAAGTTATTGTCTTTAAATCTCTCAGTTATTTGATGGGTTTTAGATGCACCATGAAATGTAGCATTTCAATGCCAAGACATGGCAAACCCAGAAAAGAAGAAAACTCATCGTGTTGTGATGGCTGACACAGTATGAGTATGTCATGTTATTGGGCCTGGGAAGTATACTTTATTAAAAGATTTATGTCATATGCTACAACAGGATTAATTTGAGATAAAGAGTATATCCATATAAATATGTTAAGTAAAAACCTAATATCTGAGTCTTATAAACCTTGGTAGCAATGTTGATAAACATCAAACCCATATATAGCTACTAGAGATGCTTGTTATTACCATTTGAAGAGCTCACCTAGGAGCTCCTCTTTGTTCATGATTTTGATGATTGCTGATGCATCCAGCTGTTCTTCAGCCTAGAACACATGCTACAAGTGTCAGCATATGATATGGGAATGCCTGAAAATGCAATGCTTAAAAGCGGCAGTACACTTGGCAAATAAATCATAGTGTCATGAAACATACTAGTTTTTCATGTGGTATTTATATAGATATGCTGGGATAAATATATCAAGTAAAAAGAAAAGTCGGAATTGGTAGTTTTATATGCATATCTTATGCACCTTGGAAATGTTCCATAAATATCACAACTCTATGATTTCTTGGGTAGGACTATCATTGAAAAATGACAACCACTTGATCTTTTGCATCCTTTTAAGATTTGCTATAAATGTGGTGGACAACTAAGGAAAGCTCATTGTTGGATTAGTTTTGAACTTTTGGGCCTGGGATATATATTCTTTTCTTTCATTTATCACCTAATAAAATTAACTTCTGATTCTGCTGGCATCCTTGATATGCAAATCAAATGTATCATGACTCTTATGAGTGCTATCATTTCCTTTTAGCATGCAGAGTGAGAGAGCAATAGTTACTGCAATTGCTGGAACCACGAGGGATGTGGTTGAAGCCAGTGTTACTGTTCAAGGTATCCCTGTCACTCTTCTTGATACAGCAGGGATCAGGGAAACTAATGATATTGTGGAGAGGATTGGTAAGTATGTTTTTCCCCCTGTTCAAAGTTGATGAACAAAGCCTCTTAATGTCAATTTAGGAAAAGTATGGAAGTGCATTGCTTAACCTAAATGACCTGCTAAAAAGCTCAATTGATTCAACTTATCTACTGATTTGTGGTGTTAATCTCGTTTTAGATCAAAAGAACAAAAAGTAACAACTCATATTAGAAAATTAGATGGATAACTTTTATAAATGTGTTTCCTTTAAGTTTGGTGCCATGACTCAAGTGAGATAATTAGTCATCTATGGTTATGCAAACTTGGCTAATTTTCCATGCCAAGTTAGCTAACCATTTGGTTTGGTTAGGGTTTGAATGTCTTGATTTTGCCATGTGCCAATCTGAGCCACTGAATGAATACGCGAGTAATGCATCTTTCTGGATGTATTGAAGTAGTTATAGAAGGGTCTTCCTGCTTATGGGCATTTCTTATTCATGGTTTTCTGCAATCCCCAGTGGTTACATGTTACAAGTGGCTAAGATAAACTTCACAAATGTCATCTCTTCCTTAGTACTATTACCCATCTTATATGCAGGTGTGGAGAGATCTGAAGCTGTTGCCATGGGTGCTGATGTGATTATCATGACTATTAGTGCCCTTGATGGGTGGACTTCTGATGATACCAAACTTCTCAATAGAATTCAAATTAATAAGGTACAATTACCCCTCTTTTTTTATCAAGTTACTTTACATCAGAAAGGCCTCCTTCACTAGGGGGTGCAACTTGGGCATGTCACACTCATAGTTTTCAAGGCGCCAAGGTGAACCTAAGTGACAGGGGAGCAATTAGCCGCTTATTTGCCTAGGCGGGCGCCTAGGCATCACTTAATGTCTAAAAGAAATAAAATAAAAAGGGGATGAACCCCTATTTTTGCCGTTGAAATAGAAATAACAGAAGGGCAGAGCCCCTATCTTTCTTCCAGAAAAAGAAATGGAGCTGTGTTTTTTGTTCCAGAGGAAGAAGAAGAAGAAGAAGGGGTGGAGCCCCTGTTTTTTGTTCCAAAAAAAAGAAAAAGGAGGGGTGGAGCCACTGCTTTTGCTCCACAAAAAAGAAAAAAGGAGGGGCGGAGCCCCTGTTTTTGCTCAAAAGAAAGAAAAAGAAGGGGCGGAGCCCCTGTTTTTTGTTCCAGAAGAAGAAGAAGAAGAAAGCATACCTTGAATGTGATTGATTTCCCTTTCTGAGACATACAACTTGGAACGAGGATATCTCTTGAACTCTCTTCGAATATCATATCTCTCAATTAAGAAGATTAGAAATTAATAAAAATTTTATTATAATATGAGAAAATAAAAATAATGATTCGGTGCATCAGGTCTATGCTTATATTATAAATTTTTATTATAAAAAGAATATTAAAACAGGTAACAGGTAACAGGTTATATATAATCGCTTGAGACAATATGGCATTTGGGCTAGGCGAGCCCCAAAAGCGCCTAAACACGGACACACCGCGTCGCCTTGACAACTATGGTTGCACTAATGCAATACAGTTACTTCAAATCTGAATTGTCCAATATAAACCTTAATTTGATTTTCTCTATCTGAATCCAGTCTAAATCCAGTTAGGTTTGGTATAAGTTGAGTTGATTTGAATGCTATAGCATGCTAAATAGAGAATTTTCAGTGAGACTTAAACTTGGTACATCCTTCTCTCAATGCAAGGTTCCAAATGCTAGGCATCCAACCTCTATTCACATTGCAATTTTATGTTTCACACACAAAGTTGTGTTTCACGCACTAAACACAATAAAATTACTTCAAATCTGAATTGTCCAATTTAAACTTTAATTTGAGTTTCTCTATCTGAATCCAGTCCGAATCCAGTTAGGTTTGGTATAGGTTGAGTTGATTTGAATGCTATAGCATGCTAAATAGAGAATTTTTAGCGAGACTTAAACATTGAACATCCTTCACTCAATGCAAGTTTCCAAATGCTAGGCATCCAACCTCTATTGACATTGCAATTTTATGTCAAACACAAAGTTATGTTCAGTTTGAGCAGGTTGTTCAATCTCTTAATCTTGGCCCAACCAGTTTTATTGGGTCTGTATTTTTCAACCCTAACCGAACCTGATGCAATACAAAGTCTTATCTAACTGGTCTAACTCAGGTTAGGTTAACAGGGTTATGCAAGAAGGTTATTAAGTGATTTTCTGAAGTGATAATTTGGCCTGGCGGTTCTGCTATTGTTGCAAGGGAATAAGGAAGAAATGACCAGGACTTAAAATTGGGTTGAGTCACAAAGGTTCCAGAATGGTAATTTTCCTAAACAGGTAACTTGCTGTTTTGTCATCCCTGACCCTTGCAAGTAATTATTAAATGTCAGGGCCCAGAATCCTTTTGTTAGTGGAGTTCTGATTGGAAAATCATTTGAGTAATTGTCTGCATTAGTGACTTGTCTTTTTGTTAATTTAGCCATTATTGGAAGGGGAGAGTCCACCAAGGGTTTGAACCATGGAATATGCTTAATATATCCCACTCATATTTGTGATTTTTCCTGTTTCCAAATGTTGAGATAACTAGTGGAAAACATCAATTTTACCTCATTTTGTCAGTGCACTAAGGGTGTGACCACTGTATTGACATGTTTGTCACTCTATTCACATTTTTTTCTTTCTTTTTTTTTGTCTTAGGTGCTGATGTAACTATTACAGTATCAAAATTTCCTCTATTAACTTTGTAGAACATAAATAAAACAAATTTAATTATCTGTTGAGCATGATATACTAATCAAATTAGTTTTCATCAATTATCTGTTGTCTTACATGTTTCTTTTTTCCTTTTTTCTTTTGGTAAATGCAGGAGGCAAAAGGTTCTTCTGCACCAATGGTTCTTGTAATCAACAAGATAGATTGTGCTTCATCGGTTTCCATTGAAGTGCCGAAGGCAGGTGGAAATCCTTTCAACAAGCATATTTTTACATGTGCAGTCACCGGCCAAGGAATATTGGATCTCGAATCTGCGATACTGGAGATTGCAGGCCTTGACCAGATCTCAGAGGGTGGACGCCGATGGACTGTAAACCAGGTTAGCTATACTTTTCCATTTAAATCATTGTCTTGAAGTTAGTGACTGTTCCATAGTTATAATTTGGACTGAATTGGGAATTAAATGACTTGGAACTAGGGTAATGGGTACTCAATAGTAAATTTAATGGGTTGGTATATTTGCTTCAACTATGATAATGATTGAACCATATACCAGTGATGCCAGTTACCTTGTTCCTACGGGCCCAATGAGAAATGAAGCACCAATCTTTAAATTCTATCCGCATAATTGCCTTTTTGTATGTAAAGGGGTAAGGTTGCACCGCTGCATACATCTTTAAACTCTGTCTGCATCTGTTCCTCCCCAGGCCCCGCATTGGTGGGAGCCTTGTGCACTGGGCTGCCTTTTTATACTGTATTTCTCTTGGATGAGTGCTGATCTAATGATTCTAACAATCTGATATGGAGTTTTACTCTTTTCACATTATTTTTCAGCCACCAAACATCTAACATGATATATGTCTGTGGCCCATCCAAGAGCTTTGCTACCAAGTGAACTTGTTAGATTGATGGGACTACAATTACTTGTTAAATCAAATTTATTTGTTTCCATAACAAGCAAAAATGGAAGGTAAATAGGTTTCCTCTTCTGGTAAACAAGTGCGCTGGTAGATGGTGAGATCTTTCTTTTGATCATTGAGTGTCCATGCTGTTGTTAATGGCCACACAGCAGTCGCGAATTCAAAATTTCAAATTATTGAAGCTCATTACCGAAAATAAAAAAACCTGTTTAAAGTATTGTTAAAAGCTAATTACTTATTATTGATTTGCTTGATGTTTTAATTTATCAGAGACAATGTGAGCAGCTCGTCAGGACCAAGGAAGCACTGCTGAGGCTGAGGTCATCCATAGAAGAGGAGTTGCCTTTGGACTTTTGGACAATTGACTTGAGAGAAGCTGTATTGGCCCTTGGACAGATTAGTGGTGAAGATATATCCGAAGAAGTTTTGTCCAACATATTTAGCAAGTTTTGTATAGGTAAATAAATCACGGATGACTCAGATATAACATTTGTATATTCAACTCAACTGAACAGAGCCTTGTTCTGCTATTTGTTTATTTACTTATTGGCTACTTGGACGCTGGTTATTCTTCCCCCATGTTGTCATCTTTGCTGTATATTAAGAAATTTTGTTTTCCTTGTGAAATATCATCTCCCGTAATATGATCCGATCTGATTAAGCAAGATAGGATGTTAAATGGGTTGACCTGATTGCAAGGTTCAAAATATCAATACGTATCGGGAGCTTCCCAATATGTCCCTACAGAGGGTGTATTAGAGTTTTGACCGGTTCAGGGTGGATGGACCTTAAACCGGCCGTTGAACTGGATTTGAAAAAAGAAAAAAAAACTAAGAAAAAAAAAGCTACCGATAACCTTGCCTATACACATTTAAGCTTTACAAAATTCGGACATTTTTTTAGTAGTTCGGAAAAATTTATTTTTGACTTTGCGTAGGTTAACAATCTACCGTCCACCAAAGCTCTATTCATATAAGGGGCCATTGCTTAAATCTTGGTCGATCAGGTAAAATCTCATGATAGCCGCCACTCCGTGCCAAAAAATTAAAAGAAAGAAGAATAAAAAGGCCAAAAGAATGGCCTTTAGCTCGAGTCATATTCTAGATCAAGATTTAAGCTTATATTCAACTATGTTAGAACCATAATTCATATAAATGATTTAAATTACAGAATAGACCTCCAACGTCCATCCTGGTCATGGATGGGCAACACAGCATACCTAATATTTTTCAATAAAACATGGAACCAAGACAAGGGCTTAATAGGGGTACCATCAGTTTTAAAGTAGAATAAAATCTGACCAAATCATAAATGAATGTTAAAATTTGGCCTAGAGGGTAGGACTGGAGGAAGATGAACATCATGAGCTGACAGTTACAGCTCAAGTTATGCCGAACTCTACTTGATTCTTGCACATGCCGTGTGCATGACATAGACATGGAAGGGCGTGCAAGGAATGAACAATTAACTATCCCATTGGAAGTTAAAAATTAAAATTCACTAAAACAAATCACATGCGAGTCCTATAAAAACCAAAGTCATCACATGACATAACACTCCCTCTAGGATTGATCAGATTTGAAAGTTGAAAAATCCAACCAACTGGAAGTCTGGATTCGGGAACCCACTTGCGCATTATACAAACAGTTTGGATGATTTACATCAACTTATTATTGTGCGAGTCCCTGTCTGGAACCAGCAGCAGAACAATTGTCTTTAAGGCAATAATGAATAAACCATTAAGAAACTTTATTACCTTGTTCATAAATAGAAGAATTTATTAGCCAATGCTTACAGCTAATAATTTCTAAAACTACAGGGACTGAACAACCAATCTAGAAGGTTGCCAAATAGAACCTGCCAATGCTAGCGGCTACCTTCTAAACATCACAAAATTCCCTACACTAACTAGTCTCTTGACAAAATTTACAATTCAGAATGGAACAAATAAAACCCAACTCACCAAGCACATCCTATTCCTACCCTTCATGCCAGCATAATTCTATTTTGCTGTTAAGGACAATATTGGATCAGTCGTGGGCCATAGAAATTGGATTCAATTTTAGAGATAAGCAATATTGTACAGATGATATAATCCTCAAGATGGAGCCTGAATTTTGTGCTATAAACCTGTAGCATCTGATTAGCCAATCACCTTTCGAAGCTCAGCAATCAACTGTTTCCGGGTTGAGGGTTCCACCTGCATTGGGTTTTAAAAATGGGTGTCAGGGTTCTTTGAGATAGACAAATTTCACCCCTACGACAAGCAAAATAAATAGATAGTTTACCTTGTCTAGGAGAACAGAAAGTCCTTGAGGAAGGGCTTGTAAATCTGATGTTGATTCACCAAGATTTGACAGTTGATGCAATACTTTCTGCACCCGCAACTCCTGCAAGTGGTCCTCATAATTCTTTGGATCATTCTTCCATGTGAAGAAAGTATTGTCATCCACCCAGGCATCTTCTCCAACTCCAGCGGGCCTAGAAGCCAAGAACCACTTCTTGATCAAATCCATAGCTGATTTATGAGACAGCAGATCACCTGCAGCATCCTTTACCATCCCAATAAGTGATCCCTCAGCAACTCTGCGGTGTAGCCTCTTGTAGAAAAATGACCTGGAGTTAGCCCAGTCCACAACTTGTCTAACTACTCCTTTGGAAGCCATTCTGAGGGAAGTATCATGTAATTCAGCAAATCGGGTGGCAATCTGAGTGTAAACTGGTAATAGTTGCTTCTCACGGGATCTTATCTGTTTTTGTAGAGTTTCAACAGCTCCAGGAGCTCCACTGTTTCTGGCTTCCTGAAGTTTTGCCTTCAGATTGATCAACTGTTGATCAAGTCTACCCATGCAATCAAGCAGTTCTTTTGTTCTGAATTTGATTTCAATCATCCCTTCTGGTTCAAGAACATTTCCCTTGGCTGTTCTCTCAGCATACATCTCAATGTGGTCTGGGTTGATCCTGCTGTCAACAACAACCCATGCTCCACCACGAAGCTCACCCATCATGGGAATATAAACAAAGACAGGTTGCTTGTATGTTCGGAGGTTCTCCACAATAGTTGATCCTGCCTGAAGGATCCCTTCAAAGAGATCCCTCTGCCCACCAGAAAAGCCTCTCCAGTTTGCAAGAATAAAAAGTGGGAGTTCTTCCCTGTTAAAATCCAACAATGCTTGAGCTGTCTTTGTTGCAGAGTCCGGAAACCATACTTGCCCTGCTTGAGGGACAACCCTCTCATGGGAATCAAGCTGACCAGGGTCTGCAGGGATAACTTGCATCATGGTCTGTGTTTCAACAGCAACAATTCCTACAGGGATCCCCCCGAGCTTTGCCCTTCCTGTTACCACAGTCTTTGCCCAACCTTCCAGAGTCTCCACAAAGCTATCCTTGTCAAAAATCCCCCCAGACCACTTCCCTTTTCCATCCTGAACACCACAAATAGCTGCACGAGGATCACATGAGTTCTCAGGGAAATACTCAACAAGCCTCTCAGGAGGATCTGAAGGACTCAAAATAGGAAGGGGCCCACCTACATGGGGAGGGACATAACTGAGCCACTTCAGTATGGATGAAACACCTTCAAGATCATCTGAGACTGTAAGATGAACAACCCCATTTGTTGCCATGATTTTAGGTCCACCAAGTTGCATGTGGGAGCTGTATACTTCCCGCCCAAGAAGCTTGTTCAGTGCAGAGAATCCAGTCAGAATAATGGGCTGATCAAGCCTCTGGATGCACCGCATGCCAAGCCGAGCAAGATATGCACCTATCCCTACAGTTCGACTAGTCACATATGTTAATGTGAAGGTTTCTTTGTATGCCCTTGAATATGCACCAGCAATGGCTCCACTGCCCGTCAAGTTCTCAACCCCCAATCCATCTTCCTTCCCAACAATGGTGTCTATGACCCATCTGGTTTCTCCAGTTTCCATCTGCAACTCATGTGCAATCACAGATGATCCAATACGTGCATGGTCTTCAGGGGTTAAATATACATACTGAAATCCACGCTCAGGACTTGATTCATCAGACCACCCAACTCTAAAACATGCTTTTACTTCTTCAGCTACTCCAATTCGGGCCCCAGAGTTTGCTGCCAAATAAATCAAAGGTACTTTCTTATCACAAGCTAGATTGGTTACGGCAAGGAAGAATGCATCCTCTCTTGGGCCAAAAGATCCAGCTTTGAAAGTCACATCATTTGCTACTATCATAATTGTTCTTCCTTTTGGAAACTCTGGTGTAGACATCTCCATACACCATGCTACCATGCCCACATCATTGAGTGCAGGAGGACGTTCTACAGAAACAAGAGGTGTACCCCAGGCACCTTGTTTATCAGCAAACACAAGCTCTGTAACTTTAACAAGATCCTTATCCATGGGTCTGTTAACACCCAGGAACTGGGAAGACCATGACCGTTTCAAGGCCGTCTCAAATGCCTGCAAACAAAATATTTCTTTAGGAAAACATTTCTGGCATTAAATTTATTAATGCTTAAGTATCAAAACCTAGATAGAAGTAAAGAATAGATGAATTAAAAATTTCACCAATGGAAAATCATAGCAGTAAGTGGTGTTGTTTTTCCTCGCCAAAAGACGTCTGCGGTCAAGAAGGCCAAGAGGTTGATAACGTGCATTCACAGGCAGACCATGCAAAGGACCTGAAACTTTGTAAACTGAATGATAGACCACTTCATGCTTGCTGTTAAGCTCCACTTCTCGGTATATCTGCAGAGTGAATTTGAGTAAGCATTTGAGAAAAGGAAATACGTATCAACAAAAAAAAAAAAACTCAATAGGAGATTTTTATGCTTTGCACTATAGCTACTACATGAACCAAAAAGTCGGTTTGCATATAGAGAACTTGGTATGTTTGTTTGTTTTCCCCCTTTTGTGGTACTCTAACACCATATGCCACACTAAACTAGGTATCGACTGGTCTGGACTGTTTACTTTGTGAACCACATATTTGGGAGCCATAAAAGATCACATTAACAAACAATATAGACCAAAAAAGAATGAATAGAATTATTCTGTAACTCTAAACTCATATTTGTTTGTGCATCCAAATTCTGGTTCTTGATTGGATGGTTAAGTATCTCCCTGTCACTAATAACTTATGAGCAGTTGTCCATTTAGATGCCCACCTAATAACTAGACATTAATCTGAAATTTGTCTATGCTGGTAGTAACATCCACAAGGGTAATTAGCATTTTGATGAAATCATAAACCAAATACAAACTCACATGCACAGTACAAGTGTGGCCAGTCACATTTGTAACTACAACCCTCCAAGCACCACTAGCAAATCCAGCAGATGCCATCCAAAGTTTCACCTCCCACTCACAAACACCTAGCCGATGCATTCTTACACCAGCAGATTGATGGATCTCATGTGCCAGCTCTTCCAAGATCATCCCAACCATAGCTTCTTCTTGCCCACCATTCATGTCCACTCTCCTGGCAATGACTTGATGGTGAGAAAAGTGGAAGATATCTTCTTGTGTACAATAAGTAGTAGATAAATGCAGAACAAGTATACAAAAATGATTACCTGGGGTAAGGCACAAGATCATCTACTTGTTGCTCTCTTAATATGCAAAGGTACATATGGGCGTGTTCAGATTTGACAGTATCATTGTGAACAAGTAGTTCCAATTCTTCAAGTGCAGCCATTAAAGACCTTAGGACACTCCTTGCAGTGTAAGACATGGATTTTTGGAGTTGGCCCATTCCAACATCCAACCCTTGATAAACTGAGAACCCGTCATTCATGTTAGGTTGTCTGACAAGGGTTCGAAGAAACATCCTGTGAATGGGTTGTGGCTTGTCAATAACAGTGTACAGGTGCCACTGGCGATCCCTGGATGGGGTATACTGTATATTCTCATAGCCTTTGAGTTTATCCTGAAGTGAAAGATGTTGACAAATAAATAAAGATCAGCTAACAACACCAAACAGTAAACAAATTTGGTCAAGGCCAGTAAAACTACAAACCAGTTCAAGGAAAATTGACAGAGGAGGTTCCAAGTGCCGCAGTAGAGGCTCTTCTTCATAGTAACACTTCTCAGGAGACCAATGAAAGGAATGCCTCATGGGGGCTCTCCCTTCATCCCTCTGTATGATACAGCTAATAACCCCAACACCTGCAGCACGTAGACCAGAGCCTACATCTTTCTCTTTTAATATCTTGGCTAATTTATTAATTCTTTCTTGAGCCTGGTCCTCATCGCCACTGCAAAGAAATATAGGAGAATGCACATGAAGGCAAGAATGATGTGTACTGAAGGTTCCATGAGTCATATTGATAATTAGAAATTTAAAGGCTCAGAGCCTTTTTTTTTGGGGGGGGGGGAGGGATTTCAAGTGAGGGATTGGTTCATTTAGTATGAATTATACATTATCGTCTTTTCTGCAAGTCTTGTTATGTCTTCAAAATTCTGAAATTTTAACCACATGTCCTATTTAAAATACCAGTAACATGTTAGTCTGTGATTCTTGGTCTTAACAGTGCAAACCATCAGTTTTGGGATTTTTAATTACTTGTATGATAATTTTAGATTGTAATTAAGTTCAGTGCCAACAAACTCCAAAGGGCCCTTTGATAATGGCTGAAGTAGCTGAACTCGATGACATTGTTTTATCTTTTAGTAATAAAATATTCAAGGATATAGTAATCAACCCAAGTTCAGCTTCAGGCAATGAGCCAACAACCTCCTTAACAACTGATTCACTAAAAGATAAAGCAACAAGTTCTAGTTCTTTCCCAGTGTTGATGTTAGATCATTTTGAATGTAAGGAGGTAGAACCATACATACCTATCCTGAAGCAAACTCATCTGATTGTTTATGCCCGCCAAGGCAACATGCAACATATTACCATGGCTAGCTGGTTCTAGGTGTCCATTAGTCATTACTCCATGAGAGCTATGAGTAGTTTCCTTCAAACCAGCACCAATAGCAATTGGTAAAAACTGAAGAGATTTGATGATAACCATTGCTCCCCATTTCCTCTCACTATGTTTTTCAACCATTGGTTTATCAGAAATGTGATCCTCAGACCCATTCCTTCTCTCAATATGTTCTTCAGAGAATTCCCATGAAGCAATAAGACCAGATCTGTGCCACTGCATCCGGACACTCCCCTTTACAAGATATGGCTGGCAATGGATAAAGAGTTACATGGGGGATCACAATTCAATTTGTAAAACAGTTAAAGAAACATAAGATTTGAAATGTTAATGGTTAGTACCTGATACAGCCTGCGAACATAGGTCTCCACCACCCGCCTTTGAAGAGTGTGGTCACTATGGTCAAACAGACCAACAAGTGCATCTTCAACAGCCAAAGGAGCACTGACAAGATCCTCCATCCTTTCATTTATGGCACTTTTCCTCCTAGGAGTATCTATACTTTCACCTTCCTCTGTGAACATTTCAAGCTCTGAGAGGCTTCTAGCAATACTTGAACGTAGTTCACTCAATTTGGTTTGTTCAAGCAGTTGGCTTGCCTTCAATGCTAGCTACAAAATCCGATTAACATTACAATGGGGTTTTAGAACCTTTTCTTTTGGTTACATGGGTAAAATTATTTTATAAAAACAAGAAAAAAAAACAAAAATATTTAAGCCAAATGTGATAACAAAAAACCAACTATCAACTAAGAAACCACAGCCCCTGCCTCACTGAAGAACTATCAGTATTACTGATTGTTACTAAATATGAATGAAGCATGCAACCTATTGAATCACATAAACACGCAAAATGGGGGCTATTCAATCACACAAACCTCAGAATAAATTGTATGGTTAAGAGCAGAGAACCGTATCAGTTGGTCTCTATAAGCAGCAGGGTTGGGATAAACCAACGCTTCAATAAGTCTTAGTATCAATTTATTTTTACTCCGAACACCCTGCAAAATAATGAGCATTTGTGGGACTGTCAAAAATGGTATCTATTGAACACCAGTAACAAATTAAAGCAGAACATGCAAGCCAGGCTAGAATGAATCAATAGAAATCTTCTTCAGGTACTTATAAAAGGACTAATAACTGCAAGTTTTCTGAAAGTACCTGATGAGAAAGAACTATGTCAACAACCTTTAGAAGATCTTTCTTATATTGAAGACGAAGACGTTCAATTACATCAGCCTGGAGGAGACAAAAAAGCTGTAAGAACCTTGCAATCAGGGAAAATAGAAAAGACTGATGTTTCCAAGTTCCCCAATTAAGTCCTTCATTTGGTCTGAAGTTTTGAACCTTTTGTTATTTGCGAGTGTAGGCACAGAGTGCATCACAAAACAAACATAAAAAAGATAAAGCTAGTAATGTCAATATAAGAATTTGTGCAGCCTGGACAAATTTAGCAAATCTTTAAGATGAAAGAATGGATCAATTTTACTCTGAAACTGGAATAACTAACTACCTGGTAGCAAGCAAACTGCATACTTCAAATACTACAGTATGAATGTTTGTTTTTCCTTTTTTAATCCAAGGGTGAGGGCAGAAGCTATGACAAAATTTTGTCAACCATACAAGGTAAAAATCCAAATGCAAAAACACCAAAAGGATTATCACATTCTTATTTCTTTATATCTAATGGTAACTCAGTAACAAAGGAGGGGTGAACAAAGTATTTTACCTAGTCATCAAAATATGATCATTCTGTCTGGCTTTCCTTGGTTTTAACCTTTTCCTAACTACAGCCAAGATTTATAACATTTTAGATTGAGGTGAAACCTGGTGAGAGCTCTACCAAAAAAAAGCATAATCCTATAGTTTCATTTTCATTGGGTTATACATAACCAAAATTACCTATATCAACAGATCATTTTATTGTCAGTATTTTAGTGACATACAAGTACCTTCTGCTAACCAGTAAATCTGAATCAAGTATAAAAGGATATTTTTCCTTATAAATTTCACATGGAACTCTATGACTTCTTATTTGTGTATATTTTTTATCAGATCTTATTTGTGTATATTTTCAATAAAGTCCTTTTTTTTGCTTGGCACTTGGAACTAATTCAGCTTTCATACAGTCATAACCAAGGAAATAACAACCGCAGAATGGGATAGTACTCGCTGGAGCAATCTACCTGAATATTGTCACTAAATAATTCCTCAATAGATAAATATTCTTCAAAAAGGGATTGAACAATAACACGTGCATGACTCTCTCTTCCACCCTCGTAAGACTTCACAAGACTCATAAGAGGCTCCACAAGTCGTTCCTGTGTTGCTTTTTCTTTAACAGGGCAGGATAAGAGATGTGACTGTAGAAGCAAAAAAGGTTTGCTTTAAAAATTGACATCTGCAAAACGAAATAAAATTGGAAGAATACAAAACAAGAACTAACCTCAAGTATGCTCCGTAATAGTTTTGCTGGGAAATCAACATTTTTCTGGGAGTCAGAAAACCCTTCGTACTCCTTATATTTAGCATCCAACTAGATTCAGAAAAAAGAAATGTAACTTAGTAAAAATTCAAGTTGGAAGCAACAATCCAAAATCTTAAATCCATAGAGGAAAGTCATAAGATAGATATGAACCTCATTTTTGAGATCTTTTGGTAGACGAGTTGCCAGAACAGCCATGCACTCTTGCCACTGAAGGAAAGGGAGCTCTGGGCTATCTAGACAGTTGAGCAAATCTTGCACAACCTGAAACAGATATGGACTATGTGATAAAGTAAAATCAATGTTTCAGAAAGAAGAAAAGGATGCATGAATTTCACAACATGTGCTCATAACTAGTTTCCCAATCATTATTTGGTTGAAGAGTGCATTGTTCAAAACTCTTCTATCTGGAATGGATAGTGTGCAAGAATATCCATATCCTTACTTCATCAATGTTATGTTCATAGCCCGCAAGAATCATCCGTGCAGCATTTAGACTTGCAGCACATCTCTGGTGTACTTTTCCAGAAACCGCAGTTGGAGGCCCCAAGACTGGAAAGCTCCCATGGAATGGTTCTGCTTTCCTTACAGCCGATGGGTCATCAAGATCAAGTCTTGCTATAAGGTCACCAGCCTGCACCAAAAGCAGCTTGTAAATGACACACACACACACATGTGAGAGAGAGAGAGAGAGAGAGAGAGAGAGTTACCTGCATTGCCTGACCTTCAGACATCTTAAAATGGATAGCTCCAGAAGCGGGTAGCAAAAGTGGCATACACATCTTCATAACCTCAACTTCAGCATATGGTGTGTCAGCTTCCAAATGACCACCATCTGGGACTAGGAAACGAAGCAGCTTGCATGGTGTCTCTGCAACTAACTTGGATGGATCGTGATCATTCTGGAAAGAACAAAGATTTTAATCTCATTCCTAAACTTTATCCACCTTAAAAATAGAAAGAAATTATATATTCAGGAAACCTGTAACAAACAGGTCCTTCCATCAATTAGAAGTCGAGTGCCAGCTGCCTCTTCCTCAGCGTAGATTACATGACTGTTTCCATCCAACTGTGCAAGATACAGAATTTGTTAATGCTTAATAACAAAAATAAATGAAATATCAATTTAAATAGAAATTTCCACCATAATTTCTTTGTCAATGCTATAAACTCAAATTTTAAAAGAAAGAACAAGATGCTATTTTCCATTTCATAAACAGATCCAACATCTAGGAAATTGCATCAACTCCTTTTCTTTGATCCGCAATAAAAGCATGTCATCTATAAAAAACAAACTGAATTATGAACTTAGAAAGTTTTTTATCATAAATTAGTAAAATATAAAATCCAACTATATAACAAAGAAGCCCACTTCTTTATGGTTTGAAATCTTGAATTTCTGGGAGAGAAAATATGTCAGACATGTATAAATATATGGGAAAATCTACTTTGCTTAAAAGCCTCTCCCAGCTGTTATCTGACCATTGTTTATATAATTTAATACCAATAATAGTATACAAGTTATTAATACAAATAAAGGAATTTTCTATAAGTTAATTTAATAATGTCATTACCAAACAACTATGTGGTCATGTTATGCCAACATGTCAGTTCCATTAGTGTAATTGTGTCTAAAACCAGCAAGTATGCCTATATCCAAGTAAATTGTGAAAGAATAGAGGTTATGGAAGATACAGTGACAAACATAAGCTTAAACTAAGAGATGGAAATTGAATATTACTGATACTAAGTTTATTAAATATTAAAACCAGAACTGCCAAAATAAACAACAAAATTTATTTATGAAGTGCCTAACATTTATGCCAAAAGATGATATGTGTGAATTGGAAAAGGGAATCAAATGCTTGCCTGCATCAATAGCCCCCCATCACGCAAAGTATGTATTTCAGCTTCTATTTCTGATTGATTCATTTTCAATCTATAGCTTCCAGGTCCTCCCCTCACCATTTCAATCTAGAGTTTAGTATCAAATAATCTGATTAGGTCACTAGAATTTATCATTCTCAGAGAATGACAAGAGCTCCTTGCAATCAAAGTTATTATTTGCATGCTTACTGTATATTTGCTTCCTTCAATGTTGAGAGAAACTTGAGAATTGACAAGTGATATATGCTGCAATTAAGGAGGCATTATTAACCACGTTAGTAAGTATAACAAAAAGGAAGTGCCTAAACTGAATATCTCAGGTAGCTTATGTATGGTATGCATTACCTTGGGTGGTATTTGTCCCTTTTCAAGATAGCCAATATAATCAGAAACAATGGATGCGCTGCTAGTTGATGCTTTCTACAGAATAGAAAATTGGAGGCAAACGAGCTGTGTTAATAGTTTAAACCCTTTGAAACAAAAAGAAAAAAAAAAAAAAGAAAAGCATGTTGCAATAAACTCTAATAATATAAATAAAAAAAATCAAAATTACGTAAATTTGATTAATTGATTTACTTACAAATAGTGCCCCTCCAACAACTGAGATGTACCAAGGGGGCCTCTCAGCTCTAACCCGCATGGCAATTCTGCTGTCCAGCCAGCCTGTGTGGATTTTGTTGTCTCTGTACTCTGAGGCCTACAAGAGAATACATCTTACTTTTCACCACCTGATTTCCTAGGGGTATAACTTCCAATAATGATGGCAAAAGAAAAATAGTATCATTGCTGTACCAGATTCTTACATGTAAAAGATCAATTGTGTAATCAACATTTGTACGTATTTCTCCCCGGATTTGGATTTCCTTCAGCCCAAGAACCATATTTGCAATAGCCAAGGCTCTTGACTCTCCAAAAGCAAAGACATGTCCTGAGACATGAATTAATGGTTCATCAATGGATATTGATATGTGTTACCAATATATTCATGTAGTATATCTAAAAACTAGTGGATAATGTTAAAGATGCAAGCAAATCAACTCAATACAAACGTGGTACCTCTGGTGTCAACTTGATAGTTCCAATGAGTAAATTTAAGTAATAGGGCAAAACATAAATTAGAAGATAAAAGAAAAGATTTGCAGAAATTAGTATAGAGGAAAAACACAATCCGAAGTCTTTGAATAGGCATAAAGGAGTTCCTAAAGGCTTTTCTATTAAAACTAGAGTAAAAGATAATGAACTTACAATGTGCTTTTTCAGGTTAAAGTCTTACAAAGACCCAATGAAATCTTAGTATCTAAGTTAAACTGATCAAATTTCTTGCTTAAAAATCATGTCTCAGTTTCTCAGATAGTCAGCTCACAAACGTAGAGAGTACTTACCAAATTGAGAATCTGAAAACTCATGAATACCTCCTCCAGACTGCAAATTGTAATTGCAATTAAGCAACCACTATTAGCTTTGAGCTTTTAAGTATGAATTTGAACTCATCTTCATACAGTTCCACAAAATTTATACCTTAACAGAGAAGTATGCCCACACATTTGGTTTGCTTTTAAAGTTCAGCTCCTGAAAGACAAGAACAGCTCTGGTCATAACAAAGGTGGAATGGAGGATGGTACAATTAACTACTCTGGAAATCCAACAAATCTAACCTGTACTTTTCCGCTGGTAGGTTTAAAACCATCATCTGGGTCCTCACTTGTTACACGGACAGCTACACAATGACCTTTTGGCCTCACTGACTCAGCTTTGTCAAAATCAAATGGAGTGGCAGCAATTGATGTTCTCTTCCAAGCATCATATCCCCCACCATGTTCCATTCCATAAAATCGCCTTATTTCTAGTTATAAGATGTATAGAATACCAATATATAGTCAATAAAGGATTTGACCAAGAAAAGTACGGAAATAAGTAAATTGTAGATATATGTGATCATACCAGGAATTTGCCAGAGAGGAACACCCATGCCAACTGTAACTTGTGCGGCAGGCAGATTTATTTCAGCAATCCACTCTGTAACAGGATGCTCCACCTAAAATAAAATAATGGATAATAAATTCAGAAAATTGAATAAATCCCAGAAAGACTTGTATACCATTCAAGCAAATCTGGTGACTGTACAAGACAAAATTATTTGCCCAAAGTAGCGTGTGAATAGATGCGTGTTTGTTTACATATCACTCTCACTTACTGACCAATTGATCAAAATTGGGAAATAAATAAAACTCATCTAAAATAATGGACTCATAGTTGAGGCCAGGACCATTTGTTTTTCTCATACTACCTAGAATGAGATCAAGTAAATAGTCTGGATCATCCAACTGCTTTGTTTTTTATTGGTGACAGTTAAAACGTTAGTCAAGTATAATAAGAAAGTGTACAGTAGCATGATAGGCCCCTTTAACATAGCTAGCCTTGGCTAGTCTCCCAATTCATTACATTTTATTGTCTTGCATTTGCACCCAATGATACAAGCCACCATTAGATTTGATCTAACTCGGTTGATTTTGATGGGGAATTTTCTAGGTAAATATGCACATATATGCAACAGCATAGGACAGCATCCATATTCATACAAGCATATAATGATGCACCGGAAAATAGAATAACAGAATTTACTTTCACTGAGATCTAATGTACATGTAGTGCTACTACAAACCTGTAACCGAGGGTTGAGTTCTAAGAAATAGTATTCGCCAGTGTCCATACTGTATAGATACTCAACAGTAGCAGCACCAACATAATTTACACACTTAGCTAGCCTCCTTGCTGCCTGCTCCAGCTCTTTCACAGTCTCCCATGGTGCCACAGTAATTGGGCCTTCTTCAATAATCTATTTGACATAAATGATCATGTTAATACCTTTATGGTTAGAATAAATGCTAGTGGAATATCCTGAAAAGGTAGAAAAGAAAAGGAAAAAAAGGAACACATTCCAGGAAGCCTTGGCAAGTGAAATAAGAAGAGAACTTGTTAAAAAGAATCATCCAAATAGAAACAGAAGCATCTAAGAAAGATTTACCTTTTGATGCCTTCTTTGAATACTGCAATCACGGCTATGCAACGCTGCAACGTTGCCATACTGATCACAAAGTAATTGGACTTCTAAATGACGACTCTAAATGAAGAAATCAAGTTATAGTCAGAACAAGATTAACTTGTGGAAACTCGAGTTGGTTTTGGTGGTGGTGGTGGTTGGGGGGGTAGAATGAAATTAACAGATGGATGTTGGTCTTACCTGGGAAGCAACCTTCATTATAAATATTGGAGATCCAGGAACTTCACCCTGGACTTGCTTAAACAATGCTCTCACTTCATCGTCATTATGAACCTGAGAATTTTGAAAGAGGATACACTATGTTCAATTCAAAGTTGAAAAATGAGGCTTAATTAACTTCAAACCAAATCACTCAACATATGACCATGAAAATACTTAAAAAATTGTCCAAGTGTGCATTTATAATATAATTTGAATTCATTTAAAACTTGCTATTTAAGAAAAGGTGGTGGTATATCCTGCATCAGAAATCCATTTCTTGTTCGAATGAAGCTGACCTTTCTAATGCCTTTACCACCGCCACCCCAAGATGCTTTGATCATTGCAGGGTAACCCACCACCTGACAGCTTGCCAGTGCCTCCTCTGCTGTATAAACACAAGCATCTCGATAGATGTCATCTGGTATAGAATCCAAGCAGCTTTCTTGAGAAATTTTTACCTGGAAGAGAAAAGTTGTAATGTTGGAAACTGTATTAACCCCAGAAAATGAAGAATCAAACAAAACACATAATGACAATTACATGTGAGCCACTCCATGGAAGGGTTGGTACTCCTGCTGCTTGGGCAATTAGTGATGAACCAATCTTATCTCCCAATGCTGCCATAGATGTAGCAGGGGGGCCAAGAAATATGATTCCCTTTGCATTTAGTGCATCTGGAAGTTCAGGGTTCTCTGATGCATGGCCCCAACCAGGCCAAACTGCATTGACCCGTGTTATCTCTGCTATCTGTTAGTGACCAAAAAGTTAGAATAAAATATCCAATACTTTTCCATGTTTTTGAATAGAGAAGTTCAATACTCAACAACTGAACCGTTGAAAGCCAATAATCATAGTTAATAGAAATCAAACATAGATAGGACATTAATAATCAGTAACTCATTCTGCAAATCTAGGTAATAAACTCTTCCAAATTCTGAGATCAGCTAGAAATGGATTTCATGTTTCCCCTCATCTGGGATTCGATACTTCTTTTACTAATTTTACACTAGTTGTTCTCTTTTAGTTAACTTTCAATTAGAACATATTATCTATTCAAAGTGATAGGAAAATGTTGCAATGTAATCAACATTATTTGACATGTAGATCATTAATTACACTTTTTTTTTTCTTTCTATCAACCTAACTCAATATTTCCCAAGAAAAAGAAAAAAAAATATAATACAAATGTAAAACGAATGAGCTGCATACCTCTACAATGAGCTGCACATTAGCATAGTTGTTATTGTTGGTCCCACCTGGAACTTCTACAAATTGATCAGCAATTCTAATGTGTTCGGCATTGATTCTCATGTCTTCTGGAGTTGCCATGGCCACTAACAGGATTGCCTTCTCTGTTCCAAAGGTTTGTAGTGCCCATGTCCTGACACTACGCATGAACTTTACAGCTGCCATTCCATTGTTTGCAATCAAGATGCTGTGTATTGGGGTTTTCCCGCCAAGGGCATAGCAGAAATTATCCACTTCAGAAATTGTAGCTTGTTGCCTGATTGGGATTGTTCCATTTATGACCTCATTCCCACGCCAAACTCCAGCCATTTGCTGACCCTTTTGGGTGTACATGCTGCATTTTCATATTAGTAAGCAATCAACAAGCCCATTGAAACTAAATACTAAATTGAATTCATTTTTCAAAGTTTCTTTTTTTTTTCCTGTTTCCTGAACACCTTGATCATCATTTTTTTTTTTTTGTTTTGTTGAAGATTTGATTTTAATTAGTAAATTGGATTCCTTAGCCATGATCTTATCACCCCGAAGTTAAAACTCTGGCCACCGCTTTGTAAATAAACCCGGTGAATTTGACAAAAGAAAGCCGAAAAGAGCTTCAACAGTAGAGCTCTGTTCAGACCATACATAAAAAACCCACAAAGGAAGTTCTCGGATGCAGAACAGGTAAAACAAGTTCATAAAAAGAAACCCATATTAAAACTAATAAAAGAAGAAAAAAAAAGGGAGACTAAAATGACGAAGATTCGAGACAAGAGAGAGCTAGAAGAGACTTCGGAACTTCATACTAAGAAAAAAACAGAGCAATTCAACAGAAAATACTCTAACAGAGTAAGTCAGATCCCCAAATCTATGCACTACTAAGACCTATTTTAGAGGAAAAAAAAAACATCCACAGTAAGCACCATCTCGTAGGATAAAGCAAATCCGATACTACTCACGCTGAACTTAACAACTCCCATCTCCAAGAAGCGGAAGAGAAGAAATGATGAGACACCCAAATCAAGATAAAGAAAAAAATTATAACAAAAACTACTAAAACGAACACAAAAACGAAACGAAGACAAAGAATTGAGACAACTGACCTTAATGAACAACAAGTGAAGCACAGAACTCAAAATCCCAAACAAGATTTCTTTATGTTGTCTTGGATCAGAGGAAGCATTATGGGTCAGGAAGGCAGGCAAGAACTATACCAGCTCATGGTGCCTGCGTTATGTTCGTGTGAAATAATAGCTTCTCAAGTTAGGAAATGAAGAAGAGAGGGAAGGGGGTATTAACGGCTTTAATTGGTGATGCACGTGGCACCAGCCCACCTGCATTCTTTGTAGTAGTTCCCAACTACTCCCATCTCACTCTCTCTCTCTCCCTCTGTCTCTCAAGAAATTCCAAATCAGAGTTCTACCCTTTTTCCTCCCTCTCCTCTCTCTCTCTAAATCTCAAATTGAACGACAAACAAGAGAACTACTAATCCCATGGTCCATAAAACTCCACATTTTTGTCGGGAATAGAACCCATCTTGTAAATAATTGGTACGGTTTGACTGTGAGTTGGGTAATGTGGTCGACCAACCCTTCCCTCCTTGAACAACATGGGAAGGGAAGAGAACAAGAACAGAGAAATAGATTACAGGGTTAATTGCCAAAACTCTTAACCTTACTGCTGATACCTTGGTAACTCGCCTCTTCATCTTCTCTCTTACGAGATCACAGTAACAGGAAGAAAGAAGGAGGAGGTGTTTTTTATATAAAAATTTACCATTTACATTTTACACATACATAAATAATAAATTTGGGTAAAGAGAAGGAGATGGAACACATGGTCAATAAATTAGTAGGGTCCAACAGTTTTCATTGAGATGCGTGTTTTGGGTTTTTTTATTATCTGCTGAGGGTGGTGGATAGTTTATTATTTAAAGGGGAATAGTGTAATACGGTTGGGAGTTAGATGCAACCATGCCTTCAGCCTTCAGCCTTCCTCACCTCTCTCTCTCTCTCTCTCTCTCGTGATTGTGGCTCAAATAGGTTGATGAAAGTAAGGCGTTGATAGTTATGGGATTGGGTTAGGTTGGATGCATGGTCCTTTCATGCTTATCTTTCGTTCTCTATGCGGCGTAATGAAAACAAAGACTTTGACCTCAGTTGCTGACTTCTAACTCACATTCCCACACACCGATCACTCCTTTGCATCCTTATCTAATACTTTGAACTGGAATATGTTAGCAACAAAATACTTTTCCCAACAAATTCCAACATGATATATGTCTACGCTTTTAACCATGGTGGGCTGGGTTCCTTTGGTAAGATGTGTAGACATCATGTAGGTATTAATTGGAAAATATTGTGTTGTTACCACAGGGCTTTAAATGGATCCAAATTTGATTCGTTTATATTCAAATTCAAATCGAACTTCTTCATTGTAAGCAGAGGTTACCTCTTCCCTAAAAAATAAAATAAAGCTGCTAACAGTTTTTTCCAATTACACTGCGCAGAGTGGCACTTTGGAGGTGCTTCAACTCCACAGAAGTTTTTGGGAGCTGCCCAGGTCTTCATCGCAGGGGTTTAACGTACGGGTGCAAGATCCATCCGACATCTAATCTTATTTGGTTGAATTTGGATGATTCCTGTTTGAATTTTTGTATTGGACCGGATTTGGATAACCTCCTATGATCCAATCTAATATATGTTATATTTATTTATGGGAAAATTCTTGATCAGGATACTGTACTTTGGTTAAAGTGATAATTTGGTCCCCGAATTTTAAAATACAACAATTCAGTATCCAAACTTTCAAAATGTGATAATGCAGTATCTTTCATTAATCAGACTGTTAATCAGCCGTTAAGTAACATTTGAAAAGTCAAAAAATGCCTTGAGAATGCCATCTAATTCTTTTTATCAAACATCCAAACATTGACAATAAAACGAATGGTCCCAAATTCTAAATTCTTTTAAACAGTCACCAACTTTTTTGAATAGAAGAGGCTAGGATTTGGGACTGTTCAATTTTTTGTCAACGTTTGGATGATTGATAAAGAGAATTAGATGGCATTCAAATGGCATTTTTGACTTTTCAAATGTCACTTAACGGCTAATTAACGGATTGGTTAACGGTAGGTACTGGATTGTCATATTTTGAAACTTCGGGTACTGGATTATTGCATTTTAAAGTTGGGGGACCAAATTGTCACTCGAGCCAAAGTATAGGTACTAATCGGAAAATTTCCCTTTATTTATTTATAATATATTATTTATATTGTATTTTTGTAAAATTGTTATATTATTTATTTTTTTATAAAAAACATGTATATATATGATGAAAATAATTAAAAAATACTTGTTTTTTTTTGTTTTTCTTTATTTAAATTGGCATATTTTATTTTTCTTTTAATAATTTATTAATTTTTAAGGAAAACAATTCGGGTCAAATCAGATTCGAAGATCCAACTTCCCAATTGGATTCGAATTCAGATCCTATCGAATCTTCAAATCAGATCGGATCCGCCATGAACAGTATCAGATCAAATTCAGACTTAACTTGATTCGAATATGATCCGATCCGTTTGTATCCCTAGTTTAACCGACGTTGCCGCTTGGCGGTTGGCACGGAGTGACGGAGGAGATGAGAAGTAAGAGAGAGAGAGAGAGAGAGAGAGAGAGAGAGAGTTCTCAATTCTGGGCCTTTTGGCGTGGCCGTAACAAAGAAGGGAGGGGGAGAAGCCGTCGAAGGACGACCGTCGACCGACACTAGAGGAAAGCAAGGGGAACTGGGGAGGAAGATGAACGAGAGGAAAGCAAGGATTTTCGGTTTTGGTATTAGCTTTTAGGTATCGAAGAAGGAGAAAGAGGGAAAGTCAAAAAATCAAATGATAGTAGGTTTATTTCAATTTAAAAAATAAAAATAAAATATTATATATATATATATATATATATATATATATATATATATATATATATATCAGTAGTTTAGTTAACCGCCGATTTTTTTAAAAGGTTAACCGAAACAGGAAAGAGGGGTTGACCGGTTCTAGAACCAGGTTAAACTTTGAATTGGGGTAATAGCCAAGTGTTTTTGAAGTAATCTAGCTCAAATCAGTGTTTTAACACCAGGCTGGAGTAGCAAATTGTTGGACCAATTAATTATTGTCTTCAAAAACAAATTAAAACCATCTCGTTTGAAAAATATATTGTTCCTTGAAAACAAAAACATGGAAAATGTACACATTTTTGGTTGTAAATGACTAAGGTGGTGTCCCGTAGCACTGGAATCAACCTTCGAACACTGAATTGTTTGCTTTTTTGGTGTTTCGGGGTCCTTCTGTGGCACCTCCGAACTCATCCTCCAAACTATGAAAATCCCTCAAAATTGTTGTGGGCTTGCTACTTTCGAGCACGCTCAGAGGTAGCGGACGATACTTTATTCCTCAAAATGCCCGTTTATAATTTTTGAAAATATCCATTTTAACCTTATTAATCTTTTTCTATGGTTTTTAAAACCGACCTCGAGGTCGAACCAGTCAAGGGTCCGGTTACTGGGTCGAATGGTTAGTCCATTCTGACAAAAAAATAAAAAAATAAAAAAAGTAAAAAATAGTCAAAACCGTTCAAACGATCGGGTCAGCGATTTGCCTACCAAAATCAATGATTTTTAGAGAAAATCCAATTTTGAGAAAAAACGGAACCAATCACCAATCCAACTGTCTGGTCCGGTCCGATTTTGAAAACCATGTCTTCTTCTTCTTCCTCTCTCTCTATCTGTTTCTCCCTCCACTGTTTTCACTGAATCAACAAATTAGAATCATTCCAGTTCACATTTTTCATCTCTCTCTCTAATGTCTATATTTATTGCTCTTCTTCTTTCCCCACACTGTTTCCTCATCTCTCTACCGCTGCAACGAACATCGGACAAACACTCACTGCAACTCAAGGGAAGATCTTCTATCACAGCGATGAACATCTAACCAAAAAAACAGAACCACGTGAACTGTGTTGCAGAACTTTGAACCGAACCAAGAATCCGTCACCCTTTGTAACTTGTGTTGCAGAGGAAGAAACCCCAACTCACACTGCTTGTTTCGGTTGTGATTATCATATCAACTGATTTGGCTTCATCACCGTTTTGGAACCTTTGATCCTTTCCATATTGGTCTGACACCAAATCCATTACAATCTTTCACCCCTATTGTTCTACATTTCCGTTTTGTGTTTACAGTAGTTAATCCCTCCCCATTGCAACGCCCACAACCCCGTAGTAATTGTTAAGACCATCTAATTTTAGTCACTTTTAATTATTTTATAATGTTTTAGTTATTTATTACAATGATTCTAACATTCTAATCATATTAGTTTAATAATATAAACTTTGATCGTTTTTTAGTATTTTATGCGTGGGTAGCTGGTTGCTATTTGTTTTACATTAAACTATTGTTTAATTTTCAGTGATGTTGTTATTGTTTTTACAATTTTCTATTATTTTTAATCTTTTTTTCTTATTTTTATCATATTATTCTTATAATAGTATTTATTTTATTAATTTTTAATTTTTAATATTTTATAGGGTAAATTTCTTAAATTACCCTTATGGTTTAGCTAATTGACTAACTCTACCCTTACTGTCTGAAAATTGATTAAGTGTACCCCTAACCGTTAACCATGGACAGAAAAGCTAAAAATGCCCATTATACCCCTATACAAAATTACAATCCTTGATTTTAAATTAATTGAATCCCTCTCACACACTCGCCCTATCTATCGAAGGGAAGAGAAGATAGGAGCATCATCCCGATGGCTTGCCATCGCCATCTCCACCGATGGCGATCGCTGCAACTAACGAATGGCGAAGGTCCGATGGAAATCCAACAGAGGTCGGCGGTGGGTTTTTTATCCCTGTTAACACCCCTTTTTGTTTAAACCCTAAACAAAACAGAGATGAGTTTTTTTGTTTTTTACTGAAGTTATTTTTTTTCACTGAAGGAATCTTTAGTGTCTGATTAGAATAGTGTTATTTTTTCGCTTTTGTATGGTTTTTTCACTTTTGCAGTGAGTTCTACGGATGAATATTGAAACCTGTAGTTTCTGAGGTATGTACACATGCCTTGTCTGTGGTAGGGGACCATCTCTTTGTGATTTGTGTGTGTACAACCATGCTTTGAGATTCGTGGCCTATGTCCGCGTTCATGTCGGTTCTTAGGCCGAGTCAAATGGCAGTTTTGGGACCCATGTGTTTGCTACAGTGCAAACATTGGATCCACACATGTCTACTTCAGAAAGAAAGGGTTGTGTTGCCAATACAACCCCATGTGTTCGACTAAATGCCTGAACCGCCAAGAAAGGGTTGTGTTGCCAATACAACCCCNAAGAAAGGGTTGTGTTGCCAATACAACCCCATGTGTTCGACTAAATGCCTGAACCGCCAAGAAAGGGTTGTGTTGCCAATACAACCCCATGTTTTCG